AAAATAGATTTTTGCATTTAAAAACTTTTTAAATTTTATTTAAAAAATCGAATTTTCCTATTATCATTTATGCAACTACTTGTGTAGTTGTGATTTGGCAAATAATGATGTGAATTTATGGACTAATATGTAGTGCAAATATACATTGTCATACAACATACGTACATATCATACATACATACACACAAATCATAGACAAGAGCATACATACATACACAAAATTGAAATTGTTCGAGTGAAAACGATTGTGCACATCCTATTTGTTTACAACATAAATCTCACATTAAGTCAAGCCAAGCCCACTCCATAACTTGGAAAATGAAGGCTAATGCTAGCGGAACACCATAGCCAACATACTGAAAGCTACCCCAATGCTAAAAGGCTCAATAGATTCTAACAGTGTGAATGAAGGTATGATGATAACACCACAATAATTGAAATTTGAGTTGTTCATTACTATCCAAAAACTATAAGTGCTTTCGGTAAATTCCAACTTTGATTTCTCCAAGAAAACTACTATACCAAAAAGAATGCCATCGATTGCATTAATGGGAGCGATGTCATCAACATCACCCGCACTAACTCCGAATCCAGCGAACATATTGATCATCAGAGCCCTCTTACCATAAGTATTTTGTCTTCATAGTAGACCGACTTAAAGCTATAGATCAAATCCGGAATACTGAATTTCAACTTAGATCTTCAACCATCAATATTTGTTTTTGATCCTACACAGATTAGATTCAATCTTCATTCTTCCACTCTCAACTCAAAAATCCAACCTTAGAAAGCAAACACCAACACAACAAGCACTCCGACAAGACTGAGGAATATCTTGATAACAGAGCTTGAAATATTGACATATTTCAACAAAGCTGAATCTTTAGACTGGATGATTTTAAAGATTTGAATTTGATCAGGCCTCAAGCAATTCTCAACTACTCACAACCCAAATGACGGAGAATCAAATTCACCTTGCAAGCCAAACCGAGCGCTCAAGGACGGAAAAGTCACAGGACTACAATCACTAAATCGACACCTCAGCGCACGCTAGCAATACAACACAAAATGTTCTCACCCTTGTCACCACAATTTCAACACCAACAAATCAGTAATTCCACAATTGAACTACCGATCTTATAGAATATTCTTTCCGAATTAAGTGAAGAAGTCAAACTTTTTCTTGAAACTCTTTCCTTTTAAGAGAAAAACCTCAAAACAACGCACAACACAGAATCAACCGATGAATGAAACTCACGCCAGATAATGAAATCGATGAAACCAATCGTGGATTCAATTTCCATATCATCGTGAGTTCTTTGAGTGAAAATCCGTGAACGGCATACTGGCATAAAACACAAATTGGAATATCACAAAGAGTTGAACCAAATTCACTTCACTATTAGAAAAATACAAGCTGATGCTAATGGAAATCTCAATACCCGGATGCTACTCACAAACGGACTATCTTCCAACGCTGAAGACTCAACTCAAAGAATCAATTATTCTTCAAGCCACAACAAATGGTGTACACCTCACATGCATGAGGATGTATACTACCACGAGTTGTTCTTAGTATATCACCCTCAAATCCTTATATGCATGGAACCACATCCAATTAGTTATGTGGTCACATGGCACATTATATACCTTGGCAAATCTAAGTATGGTCATGATAGATAACTTGTGATTTTCCAATAATATTTTAACAAGCATAAATTATTAGATAATTTCAAAAATATATCAGAGCCAAAATGAAATTATTAAATAATTCAAGATAATCAATGTATTTTTTATATCAAAATATTACTATTTTAATTTAAACTACTCAATTATGATCTTATCATCATATTTTTAATTGTTAATAATTAACATAGATATTAACAACTAGATAAGTTTAAAATTATTTAGTAACTAGTTTAAATTATCATTTTAAACAAAATCTTGCAAAAAAATTTATTGATATGTTAAGATTTTTTCAATCAAATTTTTTTGTGATATATGAACGTAATTTGTATTGGCAACCTACATATTTAGTGTCGATGTGTGTGCTTTTTATTTTTGTTTTTTCTCTTGATTCAACAAAACAATTGATATCAAAGCAACATCAAAGTTTTTGGCAAATTAAGTAGACTAGTGAGAAAATAGGCTTGAGTAAGTGACGGAGTGAAGAAGAAGGTGAAGTACTGCATTCGAACGATGAGGAATGTAATTGAGTTCTAGTGTTGTTTTTACATTCGTTGTTTGCAAGATTGGATTAAAGATTTAGAATCTTCGATTGAGTTGTCAAGAGCGGAATTGGTGTGAAGAATTGGATCTTCAAAGTTGCTAAGGTCAAAGATTTGAAACTATCAAGTATCTACAGTGTTGGAGTTCAATGTTCTTAACATGAGCTACTATGCTAAAGCCTTAAAACATTTACTTCGTCAAATTTTAAGTCTTTGCTATTGCATCCCATGATAAATCTGTTGACTTTGAAAACAAAGTACAAAAGAATTTTTTGTATATTGTTCAAATTAATTGCAACAAGTTGTAATTGGAACAAGCTTCTAGACAAGAAGATGCAGCTTGATAATTTCATGAAAGTACAAAGATTATCACATAATATGTACGATCTATGTGTATAAATAAATGAAGTGAAAAAAAATACTTCAAGCTCATTATTCTAGTATTTTACAAGAATGATATGTTCATTTTGGCAAAATTTCAAACATTGATATATATAAGTATTATTTAAAATTTTCATCTAAAATAAAATACTTGAATAAGTCCAAAAATGTATGTGCATATTAATTTGTAAGAAATATTATAATTGAATAAAGCAAATATATTAAAAATATGTTGGTTAAGCTTAACATAGTAAAGTCTAAAAAAGTATGGATTTTTTTGGCAAAACATTTTACATTTTCCGTAAATTGTCATCCAATCAATGTTATTGAGAAATGAAACATGTCTCCAATATTCAATGACAAAGTTGTGAACAATTTTATGTATTTGATAGATGTAGAGTATTCAATATTGCTTTAGCTTTGAGCAAGATAAACATGGACATGTTAAATCTAAGATATCTAAAGATCAAAATTGATGATTTATTAGACAATATCAAATCCTTGCTATGCTAGGTTGATGTTGACTATGTACAACATCTCAACAAGAATAAATTTACAACTTTGTAGTTGTCTATATTTGGTGATAGATGCATAATTTGAGGATCTACTTTGCAAACGTGTAGCTCAGTCCATAATGAAAGTTGAATATGTAGTTATAGCCGAAGTAGCAAAAAATATATTTGGTTGCATAAACTTATCATTGACTTGGGATTGGAATATGAGGTCATTAATTTTCATTGTGAAAGTCAAAAATGTGTTACAGATTGTTAGTACTTGAAAAAAACATGTAGAAAAATTCCTAGAAATCTTGCTTGATCAAGTACTTTTGAATGACTAACCAACTTTGATCTTATGCATTCATTCATCGATTTCATTGATCTTGAAGAATATCATTTTGTTTAATCATAGGATAAGATTAGGTTTGTATATAATTGGAATTATTACAAAATCCAATTATATTATAAACTCATCACTTAAAATAACAAGTATTTATTACATTTAACAATGTTAGATTCATGATTATCAATTGAGTCAAAATGTAATATGTCATGTCTTTAAATTACTTTTTCTAAAAGGTTATAATATACATTGTTTTGAGATTTTTTTATTTAACAGGCTACATTTAATATTTTTTTATTAATCATGTTCAAGAAAATTTACTATTTAGATATAAAATTATAATCATATATATATATATATGAAAGTTTTCATATACATCAATCTAGTCTATTTATTTTTTATCATTTAATTATTTTTTCAAAGTTTTAAAAAAATATTTTATTTTATTTTTTCCATAGCAACCCAATTTTATCATGTATTATATATCATTCGGATAAGAAAGATAACATTTTAAACCTAATCAATTGATCAAACTGTATGATCTCAATATACTTATATTACCCAATTCTATGGTCATCATATCAACAATTGGAAGATAACACATGTAATTATTATTTCATGAATATTTTGACAAACTCACATCACAACATAATACTAGCAGAGTGTGCATGCTTGTGTATCTTCACTCAACAATTCATTCTCAATTTACAGTTCTAGAATGAGATTAGGTATTGATGAAACTTAGATGTAACACTTCTTCATATGAATTCCATATCTATATCTGTATATCCATGGGAAATGTATAGATTAGGTACCAATTATATCAAGGAAGATATGTTTATTATGGCAGGAGTGGTGGGTATCCCACATGTCTTCCATACGAACTAGGTTTCATAAGTGTATGTTTGAACCAAGGTTCAAACAATTATAAACTTGGTTCGGGAGTACGTGAGGTATTCAGATTTAGAGAGGAGATTTCAGAAAGTAGGTAACCGAAACGTTCAAACAAATTTAAACAAATGGATCAGCTCTTCATTTATTTCTCTGCCTTGGAATTAGGTGAAAGTATGAGTACACTCTTCGTCATATTATGCCACAAAACTATTACATCTCATCGAGAAATTACAAATGATTTTTGAAATCACCGTAGTGGTAGAGATCAAGCTAACAGTTTTAGGAATTCATCCCTTGATAAATCGTCATGTAATTGTTTTTCTTTTTCTTCGTCCCACCCCTTTTGCGTAGTGATGAAATTCTGGCTCGTTACCAACTACTAAAATATGAGGCCTTCAGATGGTTTGTGTGAAGGAAATTTCCTTTTGAGTCCTACCCTTCAGTTCAAAGTCGGCCACTCCTTTGAAACATTCAGATCCCGTAAAGATTTCCTGGACAACAAAAACTCACGCCACAGTGTACGTTGGCTAGCTTTACAAGCTACTACAGTCTATACCCAATGCGTATACAGACAATATACATACAGCATCAAATACCCTTTTTTGATTAATCGGCACAAGTCCACGTGATAAACTCCACAGCTGACTAAGTCATGACATTTTCGCGTTGACTGCCAAGCGAAGCTTTTATTATGAACAGTTTTCGATCTGACGGCCAAACAACGAAACTTCGTTGGTTATTTCTAACACTTGTCGCTCAAATATGATTTGTCCTCGACTGGTCTAGTACCGTGGTCACAAATGCCTTCATACGCTGAATTATGCCTTGACGTGAAAGCAAGGACAGCTATGCAAACGGTAACCTTCAGTTCCATAGATTCATTGGCTCCTCACTTTTCACCAAAGAGGCCAAGCTTAGGCCTCAAAACATTGTGCGTGTTCCATCCATGTTAAGAACATCTGCTAGTCAGAAACTCCTTCCTGTTGTCTTGGACGTCGTACACTTCAAGGTGATAGTCGATTGAGACAGGGAAGCACGAAATAAAAAGAAACAAAAAGAAAAACAATTTAAAATCTAATCCCCAGCCTACTCAACGGGTCTCCACTCTTCGTACCGCTTCCAATCCCGTTTGTTTGGATTCAGGGCATGACCTTTGGCGTGATAGATATACTGCTCTCCTTCGCCTGTTCTGTTCTTCATATGCTCAACCCCATACCTGCTGGGTCTCAGACCTTCCAGCTGTTCATTTGCAGAAACATTAGAAAAATCCTTCAACTTCGTCCAACGTGCTCATAGAACACATTTCAAGATCAAAAGCATGAAGCGTTGAATCAGGTCCAGTGTGGGTCTATCAACATTTTCTGAAGCGAGAATTTAGGCTCTGTCGGACTTCAATTGTGTCTAGCAAGCTAGAGAAGTACTGTTTACGAAAGCAACAGATGTAGCGAGCGATAGGGATATGAGATACTGACGTCCTGAGGCAACAAAATGCACCATTCGAACTTCAGGGAGAAAGTACACGCACCTGCTCGGGGGTGTGATCTGTGATGTGGTGTAACCATCCGTGCCATTCAGGAGGTATTGCCGAAGCATTGTATACCTTGTCTGCGTAGACCACCCATCTGTGCCTACCTGTGTCCACAAACAGTACTCATTAGTGTATTCACAGCCTGAAGACAGTAGACCACGATCCCTGCCTGCGAGATGCAATTATCAAGAGAATACGTTGTACAAGGTGCTAGTAAAAAACGAGAGGGAGGGAGACGAAGGGAGAGGAGCATATTGTGAGAGGGCCTCTCTTTCAGTGAGGATTTTTCCCGATAGATGAGACTAATTCGGATTTCCCAATTTTCAACCCGGAAAAGCTTAGCGAGTTTATCTACCTAGCGATGATAAAAGTACCAGTGAATATCACTCAAATAGGCGGCTGCTTTGGGCTTTCGAACAAGGCTAATGACTTCCATGAAGGGTTAGACTACACCAGCACAGGGAAGTTAGGAAGAAAATTCGCTCTCATGCTAGAAAAAGAGCTGCATTCCATCCACATACTAAACAAGAGATTCGTCTTCCTTGCAATACCACGTGCAAGTTGCGTAATGGATGACCGTCTTGTTATCCTAGTGATGAAAAGAGATGACCCCCACTCGGCACTTCGCTTTTGTAGATAGTGCCCAGTAAAGGAACACTCTGTAGATAGTGCTAGAAGAGGACGGGTTTTAGGTTCAGCTTAGCTAAGGAGAGGTCTGATATGAGGCTTTGCTGCTCCCCTATCCAGATCTCTCAAAGACCAAAAATTGCTTCTGCCATTAGAAATTTCCAAAGTGCAGTTTTCATCTCCCATGAACCTAATCCCAAGGACGATTTGTTGCCCACGAGATGCCATGCACCGAACTCATCCAAAGTTCTCTCTTGGCTTATTGCCCGATTACATACAGCATCTACAAGATACCGGTGTTGTGACATTTGAAGTAGCTCTCTTCACCACTCAGAAATGAAAATACCCTTCAGCAGTTCAGAAGAGTTCACTCCCAAATTGATATTGTTCCTAAAACCGAGCTGTGCGTGCCGACATCATGGTACACAAAGATTTCCGTTTTACGACTTCCAACCTGGCTCGGTGGATCGTACTGGCATTTCCTCTCTGTTTCTTTATTCTCAAGAGTGGTATACACGACATCTGAATGTTTGTTTCCCCGGCAATATCCGACACCGTAGGTTCTGGGTGATCCCCTGATCTGTTTTTGCTCATTCTTAGCATCTTTTCCCCAGACTATCTTCAGTTTCCATCCAAGTTTAGGACAAACTCAAGGTATCTGAGTAATGCAAGTAATGCAAGTCACTTTCACAAAGGAGGAGGCAGACCTGATGAAAGTGATCATAAATAAACTACGCAAGCTTCGAGGAGCATATAAATGAGAAAGCCACTCTAAGCAGGGGTCATACCTTAATGACGTTGACGGAAGAAAAAAAATAAAAAAAATAACAGCAATTTTATTCTTGCATTCACATACCTATGCAATTATCCATCTACGAAAACGTATACACAAGAGAGAAGATCTCACCATGCTGCACATGGGACATTTTCTCGTAGTAGCGATTTCCAGCTTTATCGACACCTACCAACTTGACGCCATCAATTCGGAACTTCGAGTTACTGTAAAGGTATGCACAGCTCCACTATAAGCTTCGGAGCAGAGATAACGAATGATCTCGTGATGATGTACAATCACCACTTCCTTGCACTGGCTAGACCCAAGATAAAGATGATTGCTGCGGACTTTCGTGAATGTTAAGAGTTCTCCAAATACTGAGAGAATCACAAGCGATTTTTTCATCAAGTTCATATAAAAGTCTACTTGGTAATCCCATCCAATCCCGGGCTGATGGTAATATACTTACGCGAGGTTTCCATCGAGCAGGGCAGCACTGCAAGTTAGAGAGCAACGCCACAATCAGAGTCAATCGTGCCCGCATTGACTTAACTGGAAAAAAATTAACATTGTAGCTAAACTTTCAAACGCTATTGACAACCAACCCTAATCTGTAGATCTCAAAAGCGTCGCATTACATGTAAAGATAAGACTAAGGATATTGCTTCCGTAAGAAAATTGATAACATAGAGGCTGTTGCAGCTCTAGATTTTGCTCGAGATCGAAATTTCGAAACCGGATCAAACTGGACATACAATTGGACATAACAGGCACAGAAAGAGAAACCCAGACAACATACAAATAGCCCTCCTCTTTCGCTGCACGAAAAGCGCCCTTCAATCCTTTCTCCTTGATCGCACCGAGCGCCGATCGAACGAGTGCGAAAGCCATGGCGAAAACGATTCTCAGCTGGACTTCCTTACAGCAAATTGATTGATTCACAAGCTGCCTGCTCCAAAAGACATACTATAGAGAAGAGTACGAGGGTGGAGCCAGCTCGAGCAATTCGATGGCCCTACTTCTTCCTTCTCCTGCCGATTTCTTGGGACTCTCCTCCTTCAACAAAAGAGTTAAATCTAGCTAATTGGAGGTCAATGGTGTATTTATAAAAACAAACATAAAACTGCTCTAGTCCCCAAACTGGCAGCTGTCGGTCCATGAGAAGGCATTAGCCTGCCACTCAAACCCAGGACTCCTAAATTCTGGCAAATGCCAGGTTTGCAGGAATTAAAGTAATTCTGGGAATTTTAATACTTAAATCTGGCATTTTTGGCATAAAGGGTGTTATTTCACTATTTTTCTTTTTGAATTGTTTCTTATGCATAATACCTGCCGAGTAAAATCTCGTAATTCTAGTGCGAGATTTTCACCCTACATACTATTTGGAAACATTGAATAAATTAAAAAAATAAATTAATTAACTCGGGGTTTATAATCTAGCCAAAAAAAAAACATGGTATAGAAATGTTGAGAATGAAAAAATTATATGAAATGTACTTGGTTACTTATATTCAAGAAAAAAACACTCGCAATGATCAAAACAAACATGCTAATGAAATAAAACTAAGAAAATGAGAAGAAGAAAAATTGAATACACCCAAACTGTATTTTTTTTACTTCTTCGAGTTTTTTCGTGCGCAACTCGCTTGTCATTGCCGATATTTTTTTTCTTTTCCTATTTCTTTCGTGCGCAACTTGCTTTCTATTGCTGAGAATCTACTATAGAAAATTTGGACATCTATTCTCAATTTCTTGTCAACTTAGAAGCACATTGAGGTTCACAAGCAAAAAAAACTCACATACTGTTCCAGATCAAGCAATCCTATCCTAACTCAGTCTTCCCCTTGAGTTCCCTAGTCAATCTTGCCGAAACCCCATATAATGTATGGAATTTTGGTCAAATTAACTCTGGCAAATTGGCCAGATTAATTTTAGCAATTCCGGTGTCAAGAAATATAATGTCAGATTTTAGGAGTACTGCTCTAACTTTGGATACACCAAACGTACTCTATGTATCGCTGAGCCTTGGAATTTCACAAGATGACGATGACAGGTTACGCAACATCATGCAAGCAATCGTAAATTGAAAGTGAAAGATGTGTGTGATTCAACTATATATGAACTAAGTCCACGGTCAAAATAGAAGCTTCATAAAAGCAAAAATATTAAATCATGGCTCCATAGTCAAGCTCTCAATCACCTCTCTCTCTAGTATAAATGTGAAGTTGAACTAAAAAGTGCTCATTTATAGAAATAAATATTCGGGTTTGGGTATTTATTCGTATAAATACTCAAACTACTAGCCCGAACTGAATCCTAACCCAAATTGAACCCTAAGTAATTTGAACTAATTCAAATCCTCACTAGAAGCCAAGTTCAACTAGGCTTAGAGTAATTAGGAATAAAAAAGACGCAGATTAAACTTACACAATTCTGTGATTTGCATTATGAAATGAAAGCCATGAACTCCATAAAAATGACCTAACATTGTATCAAACAGTTGCAATGTACAAGATTCAAGATCTAAAATTATTCTATGAATTTGTAATATATATGTATGGAAATATACGATTTTGCGGAACGTCACATACTTTCAATCGTGTGATGATGCTGGAGCTAACATGGAGAAAGATTTTGTTGTTCAAGAAAAATATGAATATTTGAATTCATTGCAAGTTTACACAAGTTTGCAAGTTGTCGTGAAAAAAGATAAAAAATGTGTATTGACTTGTATTCCAACATTCAGCAAAGTCACATGGAACCACTCAGCAAGTTAGTTCAAGTGTGTACTTGAAAATTTAATTATGAGAAAGAATAAAATAAAGTTTATTTAAATCATTAACTCGACCTACGAACATTTGTGCTACCACAAAAGCATCATAGTGTAGGTCATCAAATATAATGTGGAGCTGGGTTCTTGCATGGTTCCCTTTGCAACAATTTGTGAAGCATTTCATGTAATAGTGTCTTCTTTATCTAATTTTTACAGATATATAATTATTTTGTAGACAAAAATGTAAGTTCGTTGCCTATTCAATACTTCATCACAGCCGATAGAAGGACTTCTGTCATTTTCCAATATACAAAGAGTGTGTATCAAAAAATGAAATGGAGCAAAAAAACTCAGCGTTATATCTTACAATTCATTATCACGAAGTAGCGTGTGGTTTCTGGTAATTCGGATGTCAATATGGCAGTAGTTTTCTTGGTTTAATAAACTCCTCGAGCTTTTGTTTTCGGTTTTATGAATAATTCGTACATACAGCATCTCTGCCAACTATTTGCACATGGTAGGGTGTATTGTCTTACATGTATTGTAAATTTATCAGCACAGTGATTGCCTCAATGTACATTTCACACTTTTGCCCTTCGATGTAATGATTGTGTTGCATCTCCGTATATTCCGTGCGTATAGTTCTTTCGAAGATGACAACCCTCATAAAAACTTGTGTGATAGAAGCTAGTACGTGATACTTTATAAAAGTAATAAATGTCCAAAATTTTATATATATGTCCATATTCTCATGTCTTACAACCATTTAGGTTTTAGTGTTTACAACACTTGAATTCTGATTTCAAGGAATTAGTTTTGCGTTCCCTATTTCGGATAAAATTGCGCGTTGAACATCCGATGTCCCTTGGAGAAAATACTTCCAGGTTAGTACATAACAATATGGTGAAGGCGAAATTTTGGATATCACATCGTCAGTAATCTGCTTGTGATTGACAAGTGGCAACGACCTCTTGGGTGCATCATTTTATGTGAAGATGTGTACATTGAGAATAAAGATTATGTATTTGTCATTTTTTTAGATATGAAGACATTAAGGTTGATATATATATAAATATTTTTTATTACAGTTATTTATTTTTGATTTATGTTATTATAAGACATTATTAGTTACCGTTTTAATGCTCTTGGCATTAGCTATGGATTTGCTTTGGATCTTTACACTTGTGATTTTCGTTTGTATTATATCTTTCAAACTTTGGGTCCCCGGTTTGTTCTATTACCATTATATTATCTTCGGGTTAATGTCCTAGGGGACTGTGTACATGCATACTTGCATCTGAAGATGCAAGTATGTTGATACAGATGATTGTTTGCCTGGGCCTCACTGGAGATTCAAACGTGATGTAAATCTTTCTATAGTTTTTATATTCTCAAATGTTCGATCTTTCACATTGGATTGAGATATGATGAATGAAGTACTGACGAGTCAGATGATAAATACGTCGAATTGGACATATAATAATAATAATCTGTTTCTTTAAATTTGTCAGTTGCTAAACAGAATATTGTGAACACAAATCAACCGATATGAACTTGCTGTCCATACAGTCAATGTACTAAGGGAATTCATTCTTAAATTAACTGAAATTAGAGATCTGTGTTTTAAGTTAGGATAGAACTTGGAGGTGGAACGCATGCTGAAGTGACGTCTCCGGCAGAGCAAATTCCAAGAATGCGTCCAATTATGCGTTCTGGAGCCGGACGTGTATGAGTGGTAGGGTTAGTGCGTGGGCACGGGACGGATCAACGCGAGTCCAAACGAATTCGCAAGTTTAGCACAGGCTCTCCATTCTGAGTCTCGCTCCTTGGGAACCTCTCTCTGTCTCTCACATGTGGAGTGGATCGATCGAGTTTTCCAGCTTCAGGAGAAGACGAGAATGGTACGTGCATACGCCTAACAGGAGCTCACACACAGTCTTACTGGTGGTAGGATGATGGCGCTCTTTTTCGATTTTCTGCATCCTCTGTTTCTAGAAATTTCAGCGTATACGGCAATGCCTTCTTCACTTAACATCGGATTTCTGTTGTTCGTTCCGTGTGGTCGAATTGGTGTAGGACATGAAACTGTAAGTTTTACTGCCGAACTCAGAGGAGAAAGGAGCCAGCCATGAATCTGCAGGTATTGCAGCAGACGGCGTTGGGGGTTCTGATTTTGTGCAGTATCTGGATCTGCTGTGATGCTCTCTATGAGGATCAAGTTGGAGTGTGGGATTGGTAATTATCTGAATGTCAACCCTTTTTGACAATATGTTGGACGGTTCGAATTCGGGGCAGGTCGATACTTGTCTCTATTGTAGATCCTCGATGATGAAAATAGTTACATCCCATGCATCGTTTTCAGCTCAGTTTTCCCTTCGAGGTCACCATTGACGCAGCCAAGGCCTTAGTATTTTGAATGATATTTTCGTTTTTGGTCTGAAACGGAATTGTTCTATCATTTCACAATGTTCACTCAAACCAGTCCCTAAACCTGATTAGAATGTTCAATCAGTTCTTATGTGGAGGGTTACTAGCTCACATCAACTCAATTTCAACTCAATTTCCTTCCTCGTTTTTTCCAAAACTCTGAAATGGGACGAGATTACTCTCGTCCCATTGATTGAAATAAGCACCAACATTACTTTTTCAAAACTCTGTGAAGATTACTTAGATACTATTCTTGTAGGCGTCGAACAGGTTGTCATATCGGCACTATAAGATACTAAGTACTGAAACAGGTCATTTCTTTTCCAACATGGTTCTGTTTGAATGCTCGTGCTAAAGGAAAGAGAAATCTGCAGGCACCAGCAGTACATTGGGAAAGTGAAGCATGCCGTCTTTCAGACACAAGGCAGCGGAAGGAAGCGCGTCATTGTTGGGACCGAGGAGGATGCTATAGCATCCCTGAATCTACGGACAGGGGAAGTTTGTACGTGTCACGACCAATCACACCCGAGTCAAAAATTTTCCTTTATTTTTTGTTTGCGCCATCTTAAGGACCTGATGACAATATGACAATGATTTGATGAAGATTCATGTCACTTGTAATTATCAGAGCAGTTTGCTCGTATTTCCTGCTATATGTACTGTACCAATTCACATGATAATTAGTAAGGCTCAGTCTTTTTTCTCTCAAAGAAAATGTAGCAGTATTTTCTTGTGGATATCATCTTCCTTTCAGTTGTGTTCCTCATTGTCGCATTCCAAACCAAGAGAAATAACTTTATGTACTTCACGTAGCAATAAATTTCAATCGGGTTAGTCTAGAATCGCTTGATTGCAGGTCTATGCTTTCTGTTCACTACCTTATCTAAGAGTGATGAACGGCTCTTATCTCAAGTGGATCGCATCTTTTTCTGATTCGCCTGAATCTACCTAGAAACTCAGTGTGTTTGTGCGAGTGTGCTGAATGTTATACGGTGTCATATATTATCAGACATAGCGTAACTTGGTTAATGAATTTGAAGCTTATACAACTTGGCTAGATCTTGTGTAAATTTTTTGTGTATCTCTTTGCATGACTTCCTTGGCCTATGCCACTGGCAGACTGGAGGCGTGTTTTGGGGGAAGGCGACTCAGTTAACGCGTTGGATATCATTAATGGAAAATGTAAGTTATAATCATATTTATTCCTTTAGTGGCGATTGCGGAACTTTTATAAAAAGTATAGAGAAAGTTATGTTTTGGCTTATTTTTGTAATTGTGCAGATGTCATTTCACTGTCCAAGGATGGCAGCAATGTCAGAGCTTGGCATCTCCCCGATGGTGCTCTTGTGTGGGAATCTCTTCTTCTACCATCTATGGGATCTGTCGCAAGTTTACTCGTTCTACCTGTAAGTTCCCATCATAATTACGCAGATGGGGAAAGATCGGTGTCATTCATGAACGGATGTTTTCATATCACTGTGGAGTTTATTATTTGTGTAGTGGATCTTATTATGGACATCGTTCTTATCATTCTTTTCGACACAGTTACTTGACATTAGACTGGCAGCTTAATCAGTTGGTTGTACCCTTTCCTTCTACATGCAGGTAGATATCAACAACGACAGGATGAATGACATGCTTATTTTCAGCGGAAGTATGCTTTATGCTCTTTCCTGTCACGATGGGGGTATTATTTGGAAAGCAGATTTGCAAGCCTTAAGGTAAACACGATTTATTCATTAAATCCCCTGAAGGCATTCATTGTGCTACAGATACAAAGTGCTTGTATGACACCGAAAGTATAATCTCATCCAAGTCACATGCATGCATGAAGGGAATTTTGCTGGCCGCTAAACCAAAAGATGACTGTTGAGTGAATGAAATTACCCTCACGGGCCGAAATCTGGTCAATTTCGAAATAAGGCTCAAAAGAAATCTGCATATTTGCACGTACATAAAGTATGTATCTTCTTTGAATGGCTGCAATCGTTTATCCAGTACATATCAGGCTAACAAAGACTCTCATCCCGAAAGAGAGGTGCTGAACTTAGTGAAGGGTGGTCTGAAAGGATGTATTACTGTTTTGTACCATTTAGTCTCAACGTGAACAGCAAGATTAGTCACCAATCTGAGCAGTTGTTTAGAGGTGAATGATGATTCTTCGGAATTGTAATGCATCACAGACACTTTGATGAGCGGTCTACAAAGTTACTCCTCTTACCCTTTATCTCCTCCTGTCTTACGCACTTGTTTGTGCACCATTTTATTTCTTCCCACTAGATTCGAAACGACTGATATTTAAGTTAAGATGATATCTATAAAACGCCATTTTCCCATCCACCAAGCACTGACAGATCCACCTTGTTTTTTTGTGATGCTTCAGGGAGGATCTTGTCATAAAGAAAGTAAGCTTGTCATCTGACGGTACACTTTTTGGAGTGGGTTTTTCGGACGTTTCTGGATTGGTTATTGTTGAAATCGATCTGCGATTTGGTCACATAAGAAAAATCAATCCAGTTGGCATATCTAAAGCTCTGGACACGAAGGAGCTTATGCTTGTCAACGGCGTTGCAGTGGCATTGGATGCCGCCTTTACGACTGTCGTGACAGCCCTTATCAAAACTGGCGGTGATGTCAAAATTGTTGAGACTCTCTTATCGGATCTTGTGTCTGCCGAAGTGAAGAGTGCTCAAATTTTATCCACAACTTTGGAAGGAGCCGTGGCTTTTCAAGTGAATGGAAAAGTTGTTGTGGTTAAAGTTGATTCAGCGACTGGTCAGTTGGATGTTTTGGAAGTATTTGAGAGCTCTGTCGTTCTCAGCAACAGTTTGAACGTTGTAGAAAGCAAGCACGCAACGGCTATAGTTGAACCAACCGAGGACGGAGGCAGTATCGGGAAGTTCTCTCTTAGAGTGGTCTATGCAAACAGTTGGAGTGTGGATGCCGCGAAGGACAGTGTCAGTTTGGAGTCACATCGAGGTCTTATAAGGAAGGTCTTCTTGAATGCCTACCTTCGGACAGACAGAAGCTATGGTTTTAGAGCTTTAGTTGTCGGGGAAGATGATTCTTTGTCTTTGTTACAGCAAGGAGAGGTTGTATGGACGCGGGAGGACGGGCTTGCTTCCATTATCGATACATGGACTAGTGAGCTCCCTCTAGAACGAGACAGACATCCCGTGTCTGAGGTCGAGCACGATCTGGCGGATTGGCTCAGGGTACATCTCATCGTCCTTTTACTCTGTGAGAATCCACTGCATTGCTTTCATGCTTTCATTTAGAGCAAGAGCATTGGATGCTCTTATTCGCATATCCCATTATTATTGTTTTTTAATTGTTTAATATCGCAGCCTTGTTTAATTCGTAGTATTCGCCAATTGATTTTTCACCTAGGGTCCAAAACTAGCAGACTTGATTGGGGTTCTCATCATTTATTTCTTCGGATGTCTGTCTTCCAGGGTCACTGGCTGAAGCTGAAGGCTACCTTATTCTTGGCCAGCGCAGAAGAACTCGCCGCAGTCCAGGCTTTGCGTTTGCATAGCTCTGATAAGACGAAAATGGCCAGGGACCATAATGGGTTTCGCAAGCTCTTGATTGTATTGACGAAGGCTGGCAAGGTCATTGCATTGCACACCGGTGATGGTCGAATAGTTTGGTCTGTTCTTCTGCCTAGTCTGCGTGCTGAGTCTGGAATATCCAAAGTTCCGCTTAAGTTAATGCCATGGCAAGTTCCTCATCAGCATGCCTTGGATGAAAATCCGGTTGTTTTGGTAGTAGGAAGGTCCAAAGGAATTAGTGATAGCACCGGGATACTCTCTTGGGTGGACGTATACAAAGGCAAGGAGCTAAGGTCTTCAAAGCTTAACTTTCCCGTCAAACTTATGATTCCTCTTCCTTTCACCGATACTTCAGAACAACGCCTTCATCTTTTCATAGACGACAAACAAAAAGCTCACGTGTTCCCAGCGACCGAAGAAAGTCTATCGTTGTTTCTGAAGCACAAAGCAAATGTGGTCTACCATATAGTCGACAAGGAAAAGGGTACCATTGTTGGCTACACTATAAAAAATATGGTTGATGGCATCACTGAAGGAGAGACAGATGGCCATGTATTCCATACAGAGCCAATATGGTCAGTCATATTTCCATCAGAGACTGAAGTGATCTCAACTGTCGTCACACGAAGACCGGACGAGGTGGGTGACTTTCCTGCAAAGTTCCTGGTTTAGTGGTGCTTAACGGATTTCATATAATACGGAATACTAAAAAATATCGTTATTATCGTGATGTTTCGCAGGCTGTGCATACTCAAAGCAAGATCCTTGGTAGCCGGGACGTCCTGTACAAGTATCTCAATAAGAATATGATATTCGTCGCTACTGTGACACCCAAAGCAGCCCAACATATTGGAAGTGCCACTCCGGAAGAAGCAGGACTCGTTGCTTATCTTATTGATACAGTGACAGGTCGAGTTTTACATCGTGTGTCGCATCCATTTATGCAAGGGCCGGTTCATGCGGTACGATGTTTCTACTGCTTTTCTCTTTCCATTTTATCTCATTGTTAGTTGTAGATCTACCTCAATACCTGACAGGAAGGAAACACTGCCTATCATTAGATTCCTCGTTACTCTTCCACACAGTTGTGACTCTTGTTTATGCCCTTCAGGTCTTCAACGAGAATTGGGTTGTTTATCACTACTTCAATCTGAAGATGTATCGGTATGAGATGTCAGTAATTGAGATCTACGATCAAAATCGCATGGTAGGTTCTGTTTATCATCTTTTCTTGGAGTACTAGCATGGTAGGTTCTGTTTATACTCTTTTCTTGGAGTACTAGCATGGTAGGTTCTGTTTATACTCTTTTCTTGGAGTACTAGCACTGTTCTCGTCCATTGTTTTTTGGCGAGGCAGAAATATATCAATGAGTGCAATATGTTTCTCTGCACTGGTATTGTATTGAAGGATGCATAGGAACTCAAGTCGTACACATGCTTCCGATTTAAGTTGATTCAATTGCTAGTTGCTGACATCGATTGAACACTTCGAGTGCCGATAATTTAGTCACTAAGGCTCAAACATGTTTTCAAACAGGGCGACAAAGGAGTGTTACAGTTGATGCTAGGCAGGCATAACGCGAGTTCTCCTGTTTCATCGTATTCTATCCCAAGCATAGAAGTGAAAACTCAGACCTACTTCTTCACATTTAGTGTGAAGGCCATGACCGTAACTTCTACCGCACGAGGGATTACAGGAAAGCACATCCTCGTTGGAACCGTGAATGACCAGGTATGGATGCAGCTTGATTTCTAGAAACTTTCAACGCAGCTTGAGTATTCTGCTGATCCACTTCCTCCTGGCTCAAATTCACACATGATTCGTGTATGCAGGTGCTCGCTTTAGACAAACGTTTCTTTGACCCGAGGCGAACCGTGAGTCCCTCACAAGCTGAGCGAGAAGAGGGAATCATCCCTTTGACTGATGCGATCCCCATTTTTCCTCAGGTGAGCTATCAACGTCCTGGAAATTGTACATGCGATGAAGACACAATACGTTTCTGTCTGAACTAGTAAGCTGTTCGTGGGTTTTCAAGTTGATGTCGGATGACTTTGTCTTTTATGTAAGTTCCGACACATTTTTTTGTTCTGCAGTCTTATATCACGCATGTGCATCAAGTCGAAGGATTGAGAGGTATCCTGACAGTGCCTGCACGTCTGGAGTCGACCTCCCTTGTTTTCACTTACGGCCTCGACTTGTTCTTTACGCGGACGGCTCCTTCTCGGACATATGATTCTCTAACCGAGGACTTTAGCTATGCTTTGCTGCTAATTACAATTGTGGCCCTCATTATCGGTATAGTCGTTACTTGGATACTTTCAGAAAGGAAGGAACTCGGAGAGAAATGGAAGTGATCATTAGGGAGTCAGCGTTCCATTGAAATTCCAAGCTCCGACCGTTTACAGACAAGTCTGAAAAGTCATTTGCAAGAATTGAGGAAGGAGGGATACTCTCTGCCGGCTTCTTAGATAGTCAGTGACAGAGTCGTGGGGGTTTCCTCAGTCATGCCGAATTGAGGATAACATGAGGTCTTCATCCCTGGTCAGAACAAGATTACTCGAATTTATGCGAGAGAAGATTCAGAGACCTTTGTAGTCCACCAAACCGTCGAGGTCATTAGGCAGCGTTACTGCCAAGTGCCTTAAAAGAGCACTTCACGTCGAGGACATACCCCCTCATTCACTGTTCTAGAAGATTTTGCGGAGAAGTAAACGAAATCAGGGCTTCAGTCTTTCTGTATGTCCTTTCACGGGTTGCGAGGTGAAACCCCGCAACCCGTGACCGTTGGAATGGGGCTTTGCTGTGGTCTAGTTTTGTGGAACTGTATGGCGATAAAGGGACTAAAGTAACAATTTTGCTTTTGTTGAATAATTTCACAATTTCACTTTGTCATGGGTCGATGTAAATTTGTTCGAATCTCCGCATTTCTACCGCATTTCGAACTCGTCCCAACTGAATCATACACCAATTCTAAGATTCTATATACTGCTTGATTTCGCGGATATATTTTGTAGAAATTTTAAAAAAACGTAATGTATGTTACTGTTTAAAAATATTCCCTAATCAAGATGCAAAAAACTAAAGAAATACATCAAAGTAATCATATTGTCAGGAAGCACGCAAAATGTACAAAGTAGCACATATGAAATAAATATGTTTCATATTAATGAATTAAAGAAATTTATCAATTGGATTGAGTTTACAGATTGATTCAACATTCTTATAAAAAATTATATACTTTTTTAAATGATTATGACGATGATGATTATAATTATGATGTATTCCACTTTAATGATCATAGTTTGATTAATAACATACATAGATTATCACAATACAAATTTATAGTCTTATGTTTCAATACTATTTCTATATCAACTCAATATCATGGAATAGGTTTTTTTTTTTTCTGTCATTGTGTATTAAGATTTTGATTATATTGATTGTGCACTTGTGTAAAATAGATATCTAACTAATGTATTCATCATCAAATATAAATAAATATTAATTTTTTTCATAACTTACATCTACGTAAACTAAATAATATTTGAAATTGTTTAATAGATCATCAAATAAAATATTGTAATTTTCAAAATTCCAAAGTGGCATAATTTCTCATTTCACAACCTTCCAATGTAAGATCTCTTGATTTGACAAGTTTTAAATTTGTATTGTTCAAAGCTAAATAAATATAAAATCTTGATTTTAATCAACCGTCTTGTTGTAAGTAATTGAACACATCATTCTTTATCAATCAAACAATGAGTTTCATAAAGTTTCAATGTGTTGTCAAAGTAGTGAATACTACTTTAAAATATGTCATGTTAAAACTTTCAAATATACATTAAAAGGATTTCTCTGACTTCATCATAATTTATTTTAATTCAAATTTCTATGAAGATTTAAGTATGATATTTTCTTTAACATACTCAAAACTTTTGTGTTGAATGCAAAATTCAATAATTTTGTTTATTTTGTAATGTTGCATTTATGTCAAAATGAACATGTTATCTATATTGAAATGAAACATTTTTTTATTCAACTTTTTCATGTATAACATTGATCATACACACTAGGTGAAAATCTTTATGGATTTTTGAATGTATCAAATTTTGTAAATTTTTGCATAAAAGCTCAATGCATATAATGATGTCAACAATCTACAAAGTGGATTTTATTGAATCCAAATGACTGTTTTGTGTAAATTTTTTATCCCAAAGATTTCTAACAAACCTATGTAATTACATTCATTTAATTCATAACAAGATATTGCAACATTTATTGCTAATAATAGAACTATAACATATATTTTTAGAGACGAAAAACTTTGATGTAATTTACAACTTACTTTCGTGTAAAATCTCTAATCACTTTGTTCTAAAGATTTAATTTTTTTGTCATATGCTAGATTGTCCTTGAGCTTGTACAAACATTTGTTATGAACCAAATGTTGATTTGCAGCAATTTTCATTAGCTTCCACATTTTGTTTCCATCAATATTTGCATGTTACGCTCCACATCGATATTTCATTCAATCTTATTAATACAATCCTGAATTCTTGTAGAAGATCAAGGTTATATTTCTTCCAAGATTGATGTATTGTCGTAATCCATAGTTTCAATATCATGATGAATGAATCAGCCTATAATTCATACATTATAAAAATTTTACAAATCTGATTTGATAATTTCTTCATAAACAATTTTGGTTGTACTTAAACAATTATTTGACATTCATTAACAAACACTTGTTACTTCAATTCTTGTTCTTCAAGAATTTGCTTCATTCATCTATATTAGAGAAACATGATTAAATTTGTAATGAAACATGAAACAACAAAACGTACACAAAATCAGATACATGAGTAGTTTTGTTAGTTGGTGATATCTAACCATTGTTATAGAAATATAAGTACACATTCAATAATATAAACTTTATAAGTTAGAGATATTTAAAATTAATCACATAATTAGTCATATGAACCTATTGGCGACGACTCGGATCTCCAAAAACACCTGGGTCTCGCAAAACCTCAATAACTCCGTTAATAATACTCAGATTGACCTCAAACTTGCTTCAATCGACTGCATTGCATGCCGTTTGTCGTGGCGCCAAAAATCTCAATTTTTTATTTTTTAATTATTTTGCGAATTAAGAGAAGAATGTGATCTGGCCTCCAGGCATCTTTGCTTGATTCTTGGGGCGTCCGACGCCGCGTGTTTTCGGCTTCTCGACTCCAACCGCCAGTTTCTTCTTTGATGTGGCCTTCAATCTGGTTTAGGGGCATCAGCAGCTGCTACACCCTCTGCCGCGTGAATATCAGCAGGGAGTACAGGATAGTACGAGATAAAATTAGGCGGAATTGAAAAGTACTTCTAAAACAATGATAACAACTTCTTATACGGCAGTGTCGTTAGCGCAGGTCGGAGAAGTCGAATGTAATCAATCGTTTCAACGTCATCAATAGACTTGATGTCCGATACAAATAAATCAGAAATAATCGCACGACGAATAGCATCAGCATTAGCGGGGATAATCATTGGGAACTGAACAGCTTCATCATCAGACGTCGTTGCAAGATGGCGCATGTTTACTACGTCATTTTCACTTTCAAAGTAGTAGTTACTCGTGTAGTTGATCGGCATCGATTTGAAGTACTTCGACAGTAAAGACGCCCATTTGCAAAAAAAGTACCGTTTTGACGATCGATGATCAAGAAATTTAGCTTTCACAGATTTGATGTTGTTGAGCTCGGAGACAATAGCGCCAAGGCTATATAGATTCATGCCGCGCATCTTGTTTCAACACCAAGCAATAACGCGATCAGCCAGATTATGTGAATCGCTTGGAATGAAAAAATGAAGGACAACCTAGTCGTAGATAGCAGCGATAGCAGGGCATAGAACATGAACACGACCTTGGATTTGTTTTGACCAACACAGTTATCAAGAGTCAACAACAAAATCTGTGGCACTGCCTGGCCACGTTCCCGCCGCATCAGACAAAGTCAAAGGTGGTGAAGCAGACGAAGGCTGCATAGCGCGTCATCACCTTTGCCTGGCCGCGCTCATCATAGAAAAACACATGATTGATGTTACTGATGATGTCGGCAATGACAAAGTTCCGTAGCATCATACTGGAATTGAAGTAGTCAGCAGAAGGACAACTGTGACCATAATGAAGGAGCGCAACTGATCCATCAAAATCTTCAATCTGAATCTGAATAACTGGCGCATCGTCATGTTCATTCAAATTTTCAACCATAGGCGGTTCAGCACAGGTATCGCAAATGATCATATTCGGTATGACTTGCTTGGCTACATGAGAGGCAGCATACGGGCGGTTCAGCACAGGTATCGCAAATGATCATATTCGGTATGACTTGCTTGGCTGCATGAGAGACAACATACTGTTTGACAAACGTTGACATTGCCGGTTGCTGATCAATCGCTGCCGAGAGGTGCATCGTTTTCTCCAGGTTATAATGATCGCTCTCTTCATTCGTGAGATCGTCTCGACTAAGTTGAATATCAAGGCGAATGCACACATCACAGGCATCTTCTGCAGTCCTTGTCAATCGCACTCCAGGAAACTCCAACTTGACATATTGAGTCCATCGGGAAAAACTAATTACTCGGCGATTCATTGAATTCATCTTTACCAAATATTTTGTTTAGAGCTTTGTCCATGTCATCTTCTGCTCAAGGATATACTGTCGCGGTCGTCGATGAGAACAAGAAAATCCATCTTTGAGCTCCCACGTCTGGCTATCTTCAACGAATGCATTGAGATCATCTGCAGTAACAGCGTGTACTGGAACCTGTGGTAGTCGGCGAGTGTGCAACGTATCGATTCCCTCCTTTAGCATCTATCTCAATAAGGATATTCGGTTGCCACCAACAGGAAAGATTGCTCGAATGACGTTGTTAGATAATCCTTGTTGCATCAATACCAATACAATGCCTTCTCCTTGCTCCCATTCCTCTCCTCCGTAATTCGTATTCATTGTAGCCAAGTTCGATTGGATCTTCAAGAGGACGTCTTATCCGAGAATCTCAATCGCCCTTTTCATTGCGTTGTCCTTAGGGTTGGTCGTCGTAGTATTGCGATTCGACACACATTGATATGATCCGCCGACTCCTCCGTATATACGCTTCTTCATCAATGATTTGCCTTTGCTCCATCTTGCGTGTTGATGTTAACTGTGGTTAATGAGTTAATTGAGGTTAGTTAACCAAGGTTAACCGCATATGTAGCTATTTATAGCTTAGAGTGGTTAACTACCTTGAGTATATATACCCTTAGGGTGATAGGAAGTACATCACTTCAAGCATTCGAGCAGTAAAACTCTCTAGTACTCTTCTCCCCGTGGACGTAGCCCTTGAGGGTGAATCACGTTATACTCCTGTGTCTCTAGTGTCTCTGGTATCAGTGTAATTGAATGATGAGTGGTTTAGAGTTCTGACGTTAACAATTGGTATCAGAGCCGAGGTTCGATTCGGATCTGTTTGCTGAAAGTTTTCGTAGTGACAGTTTTCTTTGACGGTTTTCCTTGACAGAATGTGATTTTCTCACGTACAATTTTGACAATACTTTCCTTAGTGACATGCTACACATTACTGACAGTTTTCGAAGACGAACAGGTTACGGTACGGAGTTTAGTGAATTTTTTTCACAGTTTTTTGACTAGTGCCAGTTTCTTTAGACCTAATCCAAGGGTTTAAATTTAGTCGAGGTTTGACAAAAGGAGGCAACGGAGGAGTAGCCCCCCGTTCCTTCTTTTTTTTTCTCGCACGCAGGGCACGGTTTGCACAGGTGAAGAGAGGAGCAGCCCTTCACCCCCTTCCTCACGCAGGGCAGGGCCCGCACAGGTGGAGAGAGGAAGTTTTTTCCCCGCGCAGGTTAGGTTCGCAAAGGGAGTCAACGGAGGAGAGAGGAGTAACCCCCCCTCCTTGCGCAGGTTAGGTCAGGACAGAGAACAAGTGGCAGCTTCCACTTCCCAACGCAGGTTAGGCCAGGGCTTGTGAAGGGAGGCAACGGAGGAGGGAGTGTTCGCACGGGTGGCAGAGGAGAGAGGGTTCGAACAGGTGGCAGCGCCCCCCTTTTTGCGCAGGTTAGGGCAGGGTTCGCGAAGGAGCGGCCGCGAAGAAGAGAGAGTTTGCACAAGTGGGAGACAGAGAGAGTGTTCGCAAAGGTGGTAAACCCCCCCCCTTTCCCCGCGCAGGGTGGCAGCCCAGCGTGGTCGGATGAGCAATGCAATCAACGGTTGAACGACGGTAACGGTGACGGTGATATCAACGGTGAAGGTCGGATCAACGGTATAGGAATATTCCGTCATAAATATGTCTCAGAAATATTTTTTCATCAGAATCTAGTCAAATTGGATATCGTTGGAAAGCTCTCGACACATCTAGAGCATCTGGACACTTTTCAGGACCTGAACAATGACTCAAAAGGAGGAAATTGACTCGGAAGCTGCTATTGTCTCTCATTTTCGACGTGCAGAGTCTGTAGCTCGACAAGTTGGTGGCAATTTTGGATATAACATCATACCTTTCGATGGCCACGGTGATTATTTGCTTTGAAAATAGCAAGTAAAAGTGAAATTACGATCCATGGGTCTCACTATCTGCCTGGGAGAAAAACCTTCTAGCATAAATGACATTGAATGGGCTACTGCTTAGGACTAGGCAGTTTGCACTGTGTTGGCATATCTAGACCCTACTATACTCAAGCAGGTAGAGGAGTACTCTGAAATTTCCAAGTTGCTTGATGCGCTTCAGCAACGGTTCCATCAGAAGAATCCAACGATTGTGATGAACACTTACATGCGATTGTTACGGTTTACTATGAAGCTTGGCACGCGCATACAAGACCACATTCACGCCTATGGAAATCTATTGGTGTATCTTTGGAATATGGGGGAGGAGCTTACTGACACAAAGAAGTCAATGCATCTTCTTCACTCATTGCCATCTACCTATCTGACACTATCGAAGATTCCTCTTCATCGTCAGAACACAGCAGTCATTTACAACGAGGTTGTATGTGCACTTCTGACAGATGCAGTTGAGCAGGATTTGTTATCTCCTTCCGGCCCATCCACTTCTAGGACATCACTTTTTATGGCAAGAGGTCAGTCACAACTGAGAGACATCCACGATTCACGGCGTCCAGGCTTGAAGAGACAGAGATCAAAATCTCCTGACCGAAGGAAAGTACAATTTCTGGCTCAACCATTTGACAAGAAGAATGTTGTTTGTTGGATGTGTGGTAAGAAAGGTCACATCATGAAGTTTTACCGGATAACCAGTACAACCTCCCCTTTATCAAATATAAATTCAATCTATTTGCAAATGCATGATTTAGAATGAGAATTATACTATTTTTTCCAGAATGAAAATTAAATCCAAACAAACAACCCTTTTTCATCATATAAAGCTAATGATTACCTCTAATCAGTTTAAAATTATATTATTTTTTTCCTTAGTCTCTTGAAAGATTATTTCATTATATCCATAACTATTTTTTCTCTTCAACTTCAAGATTTTATTTCCCTGTAATTAAAAAAGACTATGTTTTTAATTAGAAAAATTTTCTTTCTCAAATTGCTCTTGTTTGATGTTTCAGTATTATATTTAAAACACTTTTCAAACGATTTTTGATTTGTTAAAAATAATATTAGTTTTTTATAAATCTTTTTGAGTTCAATGAATGATATATAATTGATGGAATATAAAATAAATATATGCTAACTCTTCCCACCTTTCTTTGGATCTCATGCAACTTGGTTGTCTACGTATGGTGATTTGTATACAATTATGCACATACTTTTAGAACAGCTTTGAAGTTCTGACTTTTTTTCAATTTGACTAGGTTTTTAACCCTTGTCAATAAAATGTATAGAAAATTAACTTGCTCAATAAAATATTACACACAAGGTAATAGACATGTAGTGTGGAGATAAATATTTAAAAACTTTTCTCGTGATATTAAAGAACATCCTTTTTAAACCTCACGATTGAAAATGAGTACACAACATCATGCATCACTACAATTTACCAAATAAATGTACAAAGTAGGTTTTATCAAAATTGAAACCCGTGCGTGTCACATGTACTCTTAAAAAGAAAACAATATATATTTACCGTAGAATTTGTTGTGATTGAAAAGTACACTCAATTGGAAGAACTGCTAAATCATCTTATCTTTTTTTAATGGATTATACCTTTCCTTTCTAACTACTTAGGTAGTAGAGAATGAAAACTGACGCAAACTTGCACAGGAGTGAGCATGCACAATGAATGAGTAAAGTTTATGTGAACATTGTTTTAGAAATCTGCCATTTTGTGACAAACGTTAAAGTATCCTCTTGTTTTTTGTGATGAATTTTACAGATTCTGATTACGAACTTGCTTGATTGGGTCTTCCCATCACTTCTTATACACTCGTGGCTGCCTTGCTCTCTGTAGGGACAAGATTTGTCAAATTTTTCAAATGGGATGTTATTAGTTACCATTCTAGTGCTCTTGGCATTAGCTAGGGGTTCTTTTGGTTCTCCACTAGGTTGGAGTTGATTACTTTTATTGTGTTTTTCAGAGTTTTGACACTTGGGTCCCACGGGCTTGATCTATTTACCATTTAGCTCGGACGACACTGGCCATTGGTTGGAGTTCAGAATTCTGAAAGGTATCAGAACTTCGACCCAGGTCCAGATCAAATATGTAACCTGAATTATCCCACGACTCAGAGTTCATTTGTAAATGTATGCAAGTATAACTCATTGCTGTGTTCCAGGTAGACGAACTCGAAGGCATAAGTTGCAAATGCTAAAATTGGTGCAAAGCCTCCAACGTTGGTGGGTTCGAGGATGATGGAGTTAGAAGTGTGCGGAAGTTTGGATTTACTCTACACGAGCGCGATCTTGTACCAACGGTCATAATGTGGTGGGTCCACAACCTTTAGCCTGCTGCAGAAATAAACGGTGGCTTCGCATACACTTTTGTAACGTACATTTCTCTGGCGACGTAGGCCGTTGAAGACATCTCTGCAGGGACTTTGACCGTAAACGGGAAGCTCTATTTGCGGTCGGCCGCGACCTACCAGCATCCGGCTCGCCGGACTCGGCCCATTCATAATTAATTATACCGCACGATCATCCTTCAGTCGTCGTGGCGATGGACGAATCATGAGACAAACTAACGAATCCTTGCCTGCTCTGGACACCGACGTGGGGCCTGCGAATTGGATGAAGGCGCTGCTCTACGACGGACGCTCGGGGAGTGGATGGTGGGTTAATTTATATTTTCGATTTACTTTCGGGCGGATCTCCGCAAGACACTCTCACACCGTTGCGGGCGGGGGTGCGGGGCCCGGGGTGCTATCCGTTTGTAGGCCCGAGAGGCACTCGCCAGGAGCACCAAGTTCGGAATGTTCTCCTGGCGAAACGTCTGTCGACGACCGAGATGAGTTTCGCCAAGAGTGCATGGCGTTTAACACCAAGAATGTCCCGCCCTGGCAAATGTGAGGAACCGGAGTGTTGAAGTGAACTTCCAGCAGGCCAGTAGTCGAGAGAGCAAGAGAGCTCCTGGCAGCGGCGGCAGGAGCAGCAGCTCAGACCTCTGCAACCGACGACATTTTCCTCTCGCTTCCTCGTGGCACAGAAGTTTGTTCAGCCTGCGCTTGTGCGAGGGAGCGCTGCGCAGAGACGAGGATCGCGAGGAGGCGACGCGCACTCGGGTGTCGAGTTCGTGGTTGGTGGACGGCCCGGAGTGTAATGGCATCGGGGTGAATGAATTTGAAAACGTTGGAGAGCTGCCGCTGCTGCAGCAGCAGCTGAGCAACGACGGCTCGATCGGAACAAGTGCAGCAAGAAGAAGCGGAGGCGCTCGCGGACGTGAATAGGCCGATAAAGTCAAGATACTGTTGTGCTTCTTATCTGGGCGAGCGAGGGAGAGACGGCAGAAAGTAGCAGGGAGCCCGTAAGAAAGACGGCGGCAGCAGAAGAGTGGGTGACAGTAAACACAGTCTAGTGCGGTCTATGTCGCTGTGGCGGAACACAACTGAGAGTGCCGAACGTCGAAGTATTGGCGTAAGTTGCTCGTAAGAGCTGCGGGCGGTTTGGACTGCATAGATGTTAGGCGAGGTGCACTTCGGAAGGTCGATCGTCCAGTCCAGGATCAGAGTGTAACAGAGTTTGATATTCAGAGCTAGCTAGCTACGTAGCGGGGCAAGTTTCGAGGAGAGAAGAGATAATGCGCGGGCTAAGGAAGGTGCAGTGAGTCGAAGCAGCCATGTTCACCGACGGATTAGACCACGACGCCCTTCGCTGGATAAAAAAGGAGGTGGGATCGTCTCTCTTGATTTGACGGTGCTCAGCGCTGACACCGTGTGTGGTGTTCTTGAATGAGTTTTCTTGACTCAGAGTGTATGTTCTGTCCTCTTTCTGCTCGGATCACTACTTTTGCGCGCATTTTGGCATGATATAACATTCCGCATGGTGGATAGTTTTTGTCAAGTCTTGTCTGCCATATCTTAGACTTACGGATGTGCTTCCCGCAATGAGATCGTTTTACTGGTTTTCATGTGACTGATGTGTAAACTGCAGTCACATGATGGACGAGACCGCACCATCGGCTTCTTTCTTTTTCCCAGACTAGGCACGAGTTGATAGTCAGCTCGAGTTTCTCTAATGTGAAGCCCCGACTTGGGTCTTTGGCATTCTTGCATCAGCACAACCGTTTTCCAGCCTTTACAGAACGAGCTTTAACGAGACTGCATTCAAAATAATCTAAGATATGGGTTTGAACTGTGCAGGAACATGTCGTATTGTCAAATTCGTCAACTCCAGGAACACTTAGCCCAAGTTTCGCCAGCAGAGAGCCTCCGGTCTGCACTGGTCGAAGTAGGAACTCTAACTGGGGTTTGCCACCTTCTCAGCTTGCAAACGTACATCTCCACTCTGGTCTTCTGAGAGGAGCATATTCAAACCACACTCCAAGTACAAATGAGGATTTGGAAGAGAGTGTTGGATCAATTTCAGGAGGGGTCAACGACGATTCGTTTGATACAGATGATTCTGATGACTCTGTTGAGTCTTCCGTCGCGCACAGCCCTCGCCGAAATGGTGTCAATGCAATTCTACATGAGAGCAGTCATGACACTAACGAAGCTCATCATAGGAAAGCAGATACTGCTTCCAAGAGGTCTGACGACTCTTTTGACCACAACTATGTTCCCAGCGGAAAGAAAGCCAGCCACGAAGGTCTGGCTAGAAAGGTTCCAGAGAGCGGACGGGGTCAGGGAGGTCATGAAGCGGATTCTACTGGATTTTACGACATTGATTTACCAACTCCGGACTCCAAAGCGGACAGCAACCGTCTATCAGACTTGAGTAAGACTCAAAAGACATCAAGAATCGTAATCAACGACAAGGGCGAAGCAGAGTTTCAAGATTTTCATCCAGAGAGCGACGAATTAACTCCCTCAGCTCAAGAAAGCCTACACAAGATGCTAGATGACAGAGGAACTCAGAATAACAGGTTTATGCGAAATATGGACAGGCGTGGTCTGCATAGTACGCGATATTCCTCTGAGACTGAATACTCAGACGAGGAGAATGTTGATGATGACTCTCAAAGATCACCTACCGAAGCTTGCAAGCGGAGTAACTACCCGACTATTGATATAGAAGACTTGTGCTACCCACAGAAAGTGCATACCGAGCCTAACGAGCTAGGAGTTGGCACGCGGGACGTCAGAGTTTCACAAGATTATTCTGAGGTATGTTTTTACTACCGTGAGTCCAAAGTGCTGCAGCTCTAACTTGTGCAATAGAAAGTATTGGACATGCACCACTAGTGTCTAAGCAGGGCTGAAGCCGCCGCCCGGTTATGTTATAGCATGACTTCTAACTGTAAACATATGATATCGTCATCCGAAGTATATTTCTTCAAATCATTATCTCACTAGAAGTAGGCAATTCTGTGTTATCAAGTGCCTTGTGTTTGTTCGATTCGATGGATTCTGGACTCGGTTCTGAGGTTGTTGGATTAAATTGCGGCCCAAAGTCCTTCCATGTTCCCAACTTGTGGACTTGGTCCACAAGTTGGGAACATGGAAGGATCGAAAAATTCAGTGGACGTAGGTGATCCACAGGAAAAAATGTGGAGATAGAAGGAGGCACCTTAACGTGAATTAGCGCCTTGGTTAAAATTACAGTCGAAGTTTTAGAGAACTTATGTTTGAAATTAACGGGCGGACGAATTTATATATTTGTCAATTCGTTGTCTTGGTAGAACAGGCACTGAGTTTATTGTTTTATATGTCAAGGCAACACTTGCAGGTGATGGACTCCGTCGAAGTCGATCTGACAGTGTCGGGCTTCCTCCAAGCGCACCTCCAATGCTGGCATCCATGGTTATGGAGCCTCAACCCGAAATCGTCGTTCCAATTCCTGCCTTTTCTGTCTCCAAGTCATCAGTCACAGCTTTCAGCTTCGACACCGAGAACAAGCATAGTGGGCCTCTTAGACAAGCTGAGCCAAGTTTCAGGTACACCTTTATCATGACCTTCTACCGCATCTGTCCTGTGTTCGTTGGGTGTTTTCCAGGACAGAGCTACGTGCGCATCGACGAAGCTCTAGATCACATTCCAAAGTTGCTATTCGTCTTCGTTCTTTCATTAAATTTCGAGTACCTGTTGATCTGCCCTTTCCATCGTGAAATATAGCCAGGGGACTCGAAGTCAGTTCACAAGTTTGTGTCGCGAATAGTTGCATCAAGCTCTTTTCTACTGCATCGCAGGTCAGTTTCTGGTCTGGGACATGGACCCGGCGTTACTCTTGACGAAGGTCGAGCCCACACACGACAGACTTCACAAAGTCAAGCTCCACCCTTATATCTGAGGTACCACCACCGTACAGTGATGTATCTTTCTTGTCTTTGGTTTAACCGTTGTCTGTGTCAATGAGGACATTTTCCCCTGGAGATCGGCATCTATGGTTGCTGGAGATACGGTTCTGAATCTTGGCGTAGGCCTCTTACTGGAAGATACAACGGTGTGGTATCCCCAAGAGAGATGCATTGTATTTAGTAAATCCTCGTAACCTTCTCTTGACAGCGTATAGAGTCCGATAAAATGGTGGTGGTATTGAATTACAGGCGTGTATGTTATAAACATTCACGCACGAAATGGAGACTTTAAACTCTTATTTGTCTAACACGTTGCATGCGTGTCGACTATGGCCGAAGTGGTCAATCTGCCTGGCAGGCTTTGATTGCATACGATGCATGTGTTCGTCTATGTCTTGGAGCTTGGGCAAGAGGTTGTGCAGAAGCCCCAGAATTCTTGCAGGATGAATGCACTCTTCTCCGGCATTCGTTTGGGTAATGCCATTTACCTTCTCCGGTGTTCCATATTTTTAGTTTTATTCTCTTTGGGCGTTCTCTGCCTCCTTGTTTACTTTCCATGGTGGATTAGACGTCCGTCTTTTAACTTAGACTGTTAAAATACGCGAAAGTTCGTAGCTAAGTTCGTTCCTCGTGTGGTGCGCAGGTTGCAGCAGCTTCTTCTGCAGCCTTATGAGGAGCTTAAACGAAAAGGTGTGGCTGATGAAACTGAGGGGACAGCTGCATCTAAACCGAAGCGTAATATAGGGAAACTTCGAGTTCAAGGTAAAGAAGACGCGCGAATCACTTATATCTTGTTATCTAACCCGTATGTAGTCGTATTAAATTGTAGGAATCACTGAGGCCAGCTAAGAGCTTTTTACTTGAAATAATAAGATAAAAAGGGCAACTAACTTCCTTTTGAGGTTTTAGTTTGTAATAGTCAGGTCATTAATTAGAGATGGTAGAACTGCTCTGTGGTCTCTGGCCTGTTTTTCATCTCTAGGAGAAGAAAAGCTAGTCTGACCTGCCCATGCGGTGCTGGGTGGGGAGCAGTGCGTAAATTGAAGATATCGAAGTCGCAGCTGCCAACAGGATTCACATGTCCCTCTTTCGGATCCATAAAGTTTGAATCTCTATATGCGAGTGTGGATGATCGCTCTTCTAACCAACGAGCCCGTCTGTTGCCGGGATGGGCCGCAGTGAGAAAGCTCCGTGTTCTCCATCGCGCTTTGCTGCGGGGCAATGCCTCTCAGCGCAGTCTTGCTTACGTAAATGCCGGAGCTCAGTACATGCGTCAGGTTTCAGGAATCCTCAAAGACAAAGTAAACAGTCTTCGCAGTAACTCATTGAACTCGTTGGAAGGACCACAAGGTTCGACCTACCTTTCTCCTCTTCTTCCACTCTGGCTTTTTGCAATATATTGGCACTGCTGGGAAATTTCACCTGCCTGCACTTCATACTATTTGGTTCCACGCGTCGTCTCAACCTCCTTCTCAAATTGCTCGCAGAGGGATTTTCTTGTGTCTTGAAGTTGAAGAGCTCGACAGAAGACGAGGCAGTGAGGATGGTACCCGGAGCCGGTGACGCCACTGTTTTGTAAGTGTCTGTTTTGAGCATTTACAGGAAGGCTACATATCTGAAACTGCTTCCCACTTTCTAGTCTGCTTGAACTATTTCTGTCCGCTAAGGTCGCTATGTAACACTCCTAATGGTAAAGAAATATGGTCAAATAAACACTGGCTGATTGTTAATGACTTACTCTATGTTCAGTCTCCCTGAAAGCCCAGCAGATGAGTTGATTATCGATGTCCAAGATTTAAAGGGATCCTCTCAGGGCCGTTGCGTGGTACAACTGACTTCTATAAGTGATGACCCAGTAAGTGCCTCTGCTATCCACTCACGACAGCAAATCTATTTTTTTCAGTCCCCAATATATTTTTCCGCTGTCACTTCAATTGATTCTATGTAAAAGATATCCCTCCCACCTTTCTTTTATTGTGTTTCTGATTTCACTCCATGTGATGGTTTGTATCAACAGACCGACCGTGTTCGCTGGTTTTCCGTGTATCTTGAACCTGAGCATGAGTGTATAGGAAAAGTGCAGCTCTCTATCAGCTACAATAGTACATCGAGTGAGATCGGGGCCTCCAAGGTACTTTTTCCTGTATGCAAAAGCACTTCAATTCTTCTTAGCACTCATGATGTGGATGTCTTCTCACCGTATGCTCTTTTGTTTCTTGAGTATTTCACATAGTCTATCGCATTACCTCTGGCTGTGGGAGCTTCAGAATAATATCGGTTCAAACACTTCAACATGCGATATATCGGCTATTCTCTGCTGATTCTGCTTTTTTAATCAACAGCATGAGACTTCTCGCCCACAGCTGAAAGCTCTTATGGTATGGTTCCAGCATGCGTTGGAACAGTACTTAATTTCGGGTGATAATTAATATATATATATATATCTTGCTTTCCCAATCTCATTTGATAATAAATAAATCATTGTCTTGGGCATAATTTCAAAGCAGACTGCCTTGCAGACCTGCTTCAGCATCTTAACATTGCACTGTAAGTTCAGTTGACACATAACGAGCTGTCTGTGGGGCGTCTTCACTCGAGGTATAAGTGGGGGTCATGTGTCTAACATGATTTCATGATCAAAGTGTCAACGTGTGGACATTTACCGAGGAATTATGTACCGATGATTCGAACAAATGTTGTCGGCTGCTTTTATCTTCTTGCAGTGGGGTGCGGTTGGAGAAACCTTAGCGTACGATATTGTTTTGGAGGTGGCAATGCGAGCAGAGCGTTTCCAGCGCAGAAACTTAAGAATACAGGGTTCATGGCAATGGCTGCTCTCAGAATTTGCCGTGTACTATGGCGTTTCAGATGCTTACACTAAGCTAAGGTACCAGAACTAACTTTCTAGTTGATGCTTATTAAAGAGCAGATATGCATCTCAGCTATAAGCAGGTTTGTATCTCAAGGTGATGTTATAGAGCCTTCCATGAGTTCACTTTCTGCTAGAAACTCCGAATGAAGTGCGTACTCCGTGCAGGTATTTGGCCTCGGTGATGGAAGTGGCTACTCCGACGGAAGATTGTTTGATGCTTATCTACGACCTCCTATGCCCTATTGTCAAGATTAGAGATGAAGGCACTTTGGATCGACAGGAGGTACTTATAGTTCTTGTGATGATTTGCTTTGAAAAACCTGCTTTAACAGCGACAGGAATGCTCTTTACAGTTTATAGTAGAGTTAGATTAGACTTTATGGTATAGGTGCTCTTTGTCGTTGGTGTATAACTATACCACATCTTAATTGAAATTTTACTGACAGTTGTATTCGTCGCCTCACAGAAACGGATTCTGGCAGATGTGGAGGAGCAGGTTTCACAGCTTCTTGCTCTGGTCTTTGAAAACTACAAATCACTTGATGAAACTTCGTCAACAGGAATGACAGATGTATTTCCTGCAGTGGGTGCTGCAGCTCCGGCTCTAGTACCTGCTGTCCAAATCTACACTTTACTGCATGATATTTTGACCCTTGATGCCCAAACCACGCTGAGAAATTATTTCAAGGTTTGTAAAGGAAACTTGATCCCTGCTATCTAGCAAATCCTCTTTTAGCTTCATTCCTTGTGGACTACGCTCTTATGAAATCTAACGAATCCTTCAAGGTTGTCAGGTTGCGAAGTGCCTGCAGTATCTGCAGGTTGTTTCTACGGGCTGTAAGAAGATTCAGAGAGCAAAGTCCCAACTTTGACATCATCTTCGATTGTGGCCATGCAGGCAGCCGCAAAGAAAAGATGCAAGAGGCACATGGGCGAGACTGACGAGTTTGTGTCGAGTTCAAGCGAAGGCTTCCTTATGGACCCTATGACCCTCTCCGCAGCTTACCAGAAAATGAAGACGCTCTGTGTGAACATAAGCAATGAAGTCCGAACTGACATTGACATTCACAATCAGCACGTACTACCCAGGTGAGTTTATGTGCCAAGGGCATCTCTGTACAAAAGTGTCGTTTTCTCCTCTTCCCCGTCGTTCATAAGCAGGACCACTCTTACAGGGTGCTGGTTTTGTGGTTAGGACAGGCAAGTACGACTTGGTTCAGTTACTGGATAGATCGTACTGACACCGTATGGATTGTTGCCTTGTTGCTTTGATCGGACAATACTTTATCAGCTCTATAGATTTGCCGAATATCGTGGCGAATATATACAGTGTGGAGCTCTCAAGCAGGCTGCGCTCGTTTTTAGTTGCTTGTCCGCCACCAGGTCCAGCACCGCCTGTTGCCGAGCTAATGCTAGCAACGGATGACTTCCAACGAGATCTGTCCACCTGGGGCATTCGGTGGGTCTTAGTCACAAGACTCTTATTGCGAACTTTCAATCCTTTTCTTTTAACGTCATCACTGACGTAATTGTGAATCTTCCATATGGGAGGTAAGTCCGCTGTTTACTAAATATTTTATGTACGCTTATTTCTCAGACCAGTGAAATTTGGAGTCGACGCGAAGGAGCTGTTTCACCTGTACATAGTGTTATGGGTCCAAGACAAGCGTCTGCACCTCCTTGACTTCTGCAAACTAGATAAGGTATCGACCAATTTTTTCTCTGTTCATAGACGATTGGTTGGACATTTATCCTAAGGCGAAAATTATTCTACTCTTGCCAAATTTTTAGTATCCGGCATAGATCTTTTCCAGCTCTATCAATATAGTCTAAGCTATTGATAACGACATCGTTGGATTTGCAGGATCGCTACACATGGGTGACAACTCAGAATGTTACAGTGCCATTTGTCGAGGAAATGTACGAACGTATTAAAGATACTCTAAATGAATACGAGATCATAATCAATCGGTGGCCTGAGTACACGATTTCGCTCGAGACAGTGAGTCTCAGCTTGAGCTTCGTAACACCATTTCCTTGCTTGTGGACTGCTAGAGTGACCGTTCTGGATGACCGAAAGCAGCCTTTTCTCCCGTACGTCAGTTTAGCAATGCTTTTAAGACGTGCTGTTTTCCAATTGGTCTCCTGCAGGCTGTAGCTGATGTTGAAAGGGCGATCATATCTGCCATTGAGAAGCAGTATTCTGATGTGCTCACACCTTTGAAGGACGTCATGATTCCCAAGAAGTTCAGTCTTCAATACATGCAGAAGCTCACCAGGCGTCGATCAATTTGTCTTTATAGTGTCCCCAGTCAGGTAATGTATTTTATCTGCAGCTTTTCCTGTATTGTCAGGCGATATAAATATCAGAAGCTTATCACTCAGATTAAGAAGTTACCGAGGATGATGATTTGCGACAGTCAAGTAACGCTCTAGTTTTTGACATGCAGCTGGGAGTAATGCTCAACTCTATAAAGCGACTTCTAGATACACTACGACCCAAAGTGGAACTGCAGATGAAGGGATGGGTGTCTTGTCTTCCTGTTGAGGGAGGAGGTCCTGGAAAGTCCGCTTTTGGTGAGCGCTTGAATGAAGTAACGATAGAGCTACGGGCCAAGTACAAAAACTACCTACACGCAATAGTTGAAAAATTGGCAGATAATGTAAGTATTTTTCTCGTAACTTTTATACTTCATTGGTACACTTTCCCTCATCAGCGTTCTTCGGCAATTAAGCCGAAGTGGGCTCTTTGGTCGGAACTTGCATCCGGTCGGTCTTGACTTATCCGTTTCAATCTAGAAACCTGTGTAGTTTTCGGGTACTCCTCTGTTGCTAACTTCTTCGTTGGTGGTGATCCTCAGACTCGATTACAGCGCGCGACAAAGTTGAAGAAGATATTGCAGGATACAAGGGAGGCTGGAGGCGAATCTGACATAAGAGATAGAATGCAGCCATTGACTTTTCAGCTTGTGGAAACAATCTCTCACTTGCATGAAGTGTTCTCCTCACGTGTTTTCGTTGCTGTTTGCCGTGGTTATTGGGACCGGATGGCACGGGTAAGTGACTCCTTAATTGCATCATCTACAGAGCATCGTGGTTACTCCGAGGTTATTGCTCCTTACTGTCCGTTCTAAGTCTAATCGTAGCGAAATTGGAAGAACCCGTATGCTTGACTAAAATGTTGAAAGCGATTTTATGTTGCCGAGTAGAATTCTTTTGAGGATATATAGGTAGTGGATGTTTGATCAATTCTAAACTTTACATAAATAGCTGTAGACAAGCCGAGTATCATATGTATTGGTATCATTTTTCGCAGGATGTGCTTCATTTTCTGGAGAACAGAAAAGAAAATAGGGCTTGGTACAAGGGCTCCTCATTTGCTCTAGGGGTGAGTTCCTCAAAAGAAATTTCTATGGACTTGTAAACTTCAATTGAGTGTCCACATTGATCGTAACATGGTTTTTAATCAGTTTGTTTTGATTCTCGTTGATTATATAACAACCAGTGAAAACTACTGTTTTAACCGCAGATTTTGGATGACATATTTGCTTCACAAATGCAACGGCTGCAAGGACATGGGCTGCAAGAAAAGGATCTCGATCCTCCACGGTCGGTAATGGAGGCACGGTCTATGCTCTCAAGAGACGCGCAAAACGGACTGGACTCTTCAACCTTGTTTTTCTACTAGCTAGCAGTACCCACGTAATTACCTAGACTGATTTATGTTCAACTTTTCCTGTCGTTGACAATTAGAATAGGAAATTTTCCTTGATCGGAGAAGCATTTATAGAGATGTGTAGAAGGATGTGAAAGTCTGTGCAACGGGCAGTGTGATGAGAGGAGCACATCCCATATCCAAGACCAAGATATTTTTGGTCTACGATTTGCAGGAAGAACCCCAGCCGTGTAGGCATTTCAGGCTTCTCGGGAGCTGATATTTTGAATGAAGCGACCGAGTCAGGCACCTAACACCATTACTAGATAAGATTTGGAGGAAGCAGGTTTTCCCCGTTTCGTTTTGAGGTTGACGTGGAATAGCTCCATGTCCAAATGAGATACTGTATAAAAGGGCGGTCATCCCAATTCTTTGTAGAATTTGTCTCAAGATTTATTCATACTCTATCACGTAGACGGACTGATGACGAAAACATTTTCATAGTTTAAATAGTACTTCTTGTTCATACCTAGCTTCTACGGTTGTCTGTTAGTGGTCACAGTTCAGCTCAAATCTTCGTCATAGTATGTCCACGATGTTGGAATCTGAGCTCTTACTATCCGCAGTGGAATATCTACTGCAAGTCAGAGCTCTTGGAATGTAAGAAACAAATATATAGTAAATGTTCTGTGTGCAGTCGCACCGTTTGATGAATTTGAAGTGCGCGTGGCCATTGTGGTGTAATATTGATCTTTTGCATCATAAGATTTCAGGCCCCGAAATACCGAAGGTACGTCATACGATGTCGTCAACCCCAACGTAAACCCGAAAGCCATCTGAAGTCATCTGAAGTCCAAACTTGGCACTTAAGAGTTACCCGTAGTTTATATGGGCTTTATAATAGTGGATGAAAGTGGCTTTTGTCATAACTGGAAGTGAAAGTTGGTGACGTACGACACGTAATATGATGGACAAATGTCGAAGAGAGTAGCATTTGCTTGTCGTAATGGGAAGAGAAGTTCTTACTTGAATGCAACTGTGGAACTCAGATCTGCATGGGGTACCCATACCCGAACCGTACCCGCCTGAACGGATGGATATGGGTCGGGTTTGGTCCAGGCCAGGATCGGTTCAGGTGGGGTCCGGGTTGGACTTTGAATCTGATGGTTTCGGGTAGGGTGCGGGTTTACAGATGGACCATTCGGGTTCTTCACTAAAACCGTTCGTGTTTGAATTCTCGCCTCCTGTCTCACTGCAAGGCAGAGAATCGCATCGGGTACCCATCCCGAAACAGCGACCCTCTTGGCGGATGATGATGAAAAGACAATTGAGATATCTTCCAAGGATATGTTCACCTTGAAGATCAAAATCAGTGTGATCTACAAAAAGAGGGCGATAACTGTCTTCCAGGGAGCAACTGCAAAGCCAAGTTGGGGTCTGGTCATTGTTCGCCTCGCCTTCAAGGAGATCGGCAAGCATCTTTGTTGAAGTGATAACTCTTTTGTCTGTTGTTACAAATGTTGCTACAAATGCCTCACTGTTTATCAATACAGACCAGCCAATTGAACCACCGCCATGTCGAAACACTCATGTCTTCCTGTAGAGAACAACCAGGTGATGACAACAACGGCGATGCGACTACAATTGAAAAGAAACTCATCACTACAGCGTTGTCGGACATGTCCACCATTGACATTGTACTTTTCACATTGCGAAGGGTAGCGGCTTCAAGAACTATATGTAGACGGTCTTGAATATCGGCGTCTACTCAAAGATCTACATGCGTGTGGAAAACATCCATCCTGATTCGACTACAATCAATAGAAATGTGCAGCTCTAATTTAATGCTAGGCATGAGTCATTTACTACCACCTTGGAGTCGCATCTAGCGGAAGTGATTCGGTTCGACAACACAATCAATATTTGGACCGATGACATCAATAAGGTCTTTTTCCTATCAGTCACTGCGCACCTCATCTATGACGAGTTCATTATGCATCACTACATGCTGGCTTCAGCCCATTCCCTAGGCCCCATCATGGATCTGACGTCAAGAGAAAGTACGACGATGTTTCAAGGAAATTTAGCATCAATAGCTATGATGCGGTCACAGTTGTCACCTACGGCTCTAATATGCACTATGCGGATGAAATTCCCAGCTCCTACGATTGTATCCCACGCTGTGATAATGTCATGAGTACCAATCTCACGATGGTTATCAAAAAAAGTACTCGTATGATCAACGGCAAGAAATTTGCTCCTTTTTATGAGTTCTACCATTTGAACCTTGAGCTATTCGACACTATTGATCACATCAAAGCTCTCGTGACATATATCAAACAATCTTCAAGATGAGCTCGCAAAGACCCTCAAGCAGGAGAATGCGAAATGATGAAATTCTTCCCTTCGTTGCATGATCAGCGTCAACAAGACACTCCCGGAGCTGACCGAGATTTTGCGTGCACGAGGTCGCCAAGATTGATCACGAGCTTCTCAAGGAGTTCATTGACTTCCTCTTGTACTTTCAAGAGGCCATCCTAGCCCTGGAGATGTTCAAAGAGCCTACGCTACATCGTGTTTTCTACTTCTAGCAGAATCTGCTGAAGCATTGCCAAGTCGTCACGGCAGATATTACCACAAAGGAGAAAGATGGCACGATAGTCACATTTGAAGAAATACACTTTCGCATTTGCCGCCTTGAAGTCAAAATTTATCAAACTGATCAAGCGAAATTTTGTTTGAAATAACATCCATGTCATTGTTGGCAAATTTTTTTTGGAAAACATGTTGAAGTCTCATATGATTAGTCCCTGCATCGGTGATGATGACAACGTGCAACTCCATAAAAGACAGAAGCAAGACAATTGACGCACCCACACGGTCTTGCCGAGTACATTCGCCACAAATGCAGCGACGATAAAAATATTCTCTTGTCCAAATACTGAATTTTGTTTTGGTGTAATATCCATCAAAACAAATTTTCCATTCTTTTTGACTAGATCGCTTTGTGTTGACCATTCCAACGTTGAGCACAAAGTTGTGGAACAACCTCTCGTACGCAAGTAACATCATGAACAAGAAGCTCAACTAGTTGCATACGACCAAGCTTGACAACCTCATGTTCATGCGCTCAATGCTATTGTCGCCAAAGTTGCATGTTGAGGTTTTGTAATAACCCACCAAAGGCTAAAACTGCAGTATGGTGGTAAAAAGATCGAACCCACAGGGACAGAGGCAACACACAGAGTAAAAAGTGTCACGTTTAACAGACTTTTGTAGAGTTTGAATTCTCAGGCGACTGTCACTCCCAGAAATACTGCAGTGCTCGACTCGGAGGCTCGACTCGGAGGAGGATGCTCGACTCGGAGGATGCTCGGAGGATGCACAGTACAGCGTAGTCACTCAACACACACACACACACACACCTGAAACTGGCAAAAGCACAACTCGGAGGTCGGTCAGGACCTCCGCTTCGGATTTCAGGGGAAAAGTGTCTCAAAAGTTCACTCAGAGGTTCTGCAGGTAGTGACTCCCACTCCGGCTTTTACTGCCCTTCCGCCAGGAACTAGCGTAGGGAACCCGGACTGGACTTCCCACTTCGGAACGAAGCCCCTTCATACGCCGTGGACGTCACCCTCGACTCACACCAAACGCAGGGAGTACAGGCCCGATTGAGAACTTAACTAAGACACAATCCAGTAACACACACACACAACCTGAATTGCAAACCAAGGCTTACACGAAGTAATAAAACTTCACTTTGGCATTCAGGGGAAACTTCCCGTAGGAGTACAATCAGGATATGTCACTCGAAGGAGTAAGGGGGAACTGTTCAAGTCTCTAACTCGCAGCCGGCTCTGAGCATCAGAAATCACCCGCAGGTGCAGATCCGCACTACTCAAGTCTCTAACCGGGTACTAGCTCTGAACATTCAGCCGAAGGCCTTCAACTACAACATACGGTAACTTCGCTATGCTGCAGCTTCTCTACGTGGTGCCAAGACCAAAATGCACAAACACGCCAAGAAAGTGAGTTCCTGATCTGCACTTCCGAAACTGGAAGAGTCCCAAGGCAAAACGCCTTGATCTACTTTATACCCTCTAAGGTCCTAACTAACACTGCGCTATCCTATCTACTACTCGCAACACTTGCACGAAACCAAACTACGCTACTGCACTCTGCAGATCCGGTGCTGCGCCTCCTGCGCGCCGGACTGCCTCGCTCTCTATCTCTACCTTGCCAATCTTCCGACCGGCTGCGCAACCCCAGACGTCGGAGGGCTGCAGTCACTTCCGACTCCAAGTGCGCCATAGTGTCGCGCGCACCCGACAAGAAGGATTCTAATTTCCTTGCTACTCGCCGCCGACTCCGACTGTCACCCTCCGTCAATGCCGCCGCCCGAAGCTCGAACTCCCTGAGTGTGATCTTCTCTTGAGCTGCCACCTCCCAATGGGCGTATCCTTTTAGACAGTGAGTCACCCGCATCGCCAACTCTTCTCGCGTCCGGCAGCTGCCTTCCACCTCTGCTAGCTGCATTTCCGCATCTGCACGCTGCGCGCTCAAATCCGCGCACTCGGATTGCAAGTTGCGCAACAATTCCTCAACCTCCGTGCGTGTACTTTGACTTTCTTCTAAGGCGCGCTTCTGGCGCGCAAGCTCTTTTGCTAAGATGCGGTTTTGTCTCCGCTCTTCCTGCAATTCCGACTCGATCTTTGCCCGCATTAGCTCGGCATCCGCCTGGTTTTTCGTCGCCGCATCCTCCCTCTGCTGTTGCAAGGTTTGGTATAGCTTCTGCGTGACCGCCAGGTGCTGTCGGAGGGTAGCGTTCCTATCCTGCAATGTTTGGCACCTAGAGGCCCAAGTGGCCACCTTGCTCCTCGTCCTGCGCTTGACAGTCTCCACGTAAGACTGCGGTTTTCCGGTACCCGAGTACTTGGAAGTCTTGCGATCCAGATATCGCAAGAGTGGAACTATCTGCTCGCACAACACCCCTGTTGGCGTTTTCTGCACAGAGTCCGCTTCCTGCTCTTCCGAGCTCGTCTCATCCTCCGTTTCAAGGATTTCAGTCGCCACCGAATCCCTTGGCGACTCCCTGGAACTGTGGCGCGCAGCAGCTTCCGCCGCGACTGCCGCTCCACTCCCTGCTAAAATATCCAAGGCAGTGGGGGATCCCACTGCTTGAGCCCCTGTTCCGGCTCGATCTTCGATTTCCAAAGGGGTCGACGCCGCAGTGACTTTTGTCACCTTTGCACCGCCCGCTTCTGCTGCCTGCCCTTCCGGCGCGATCTGCGCGGAAGGTGTCTTCGCTGGAGGTGCGTCCGCCGAAGGCGTCCGCACACTGGTCGCCGGCCCTGTCCGTCTCGCAGTCGGCGAATCTGGCCGACTCTCTGTTGACCGACTCGCAGTCGGCCGACTAGCAGGTGTCCGACTGGCAGTCGGATACACCCTGCGCGTCTTCACTCCACTTGGCCTGCTTGCTGGCGGCGTTTTCCCAGAAGTGCCTTCCGCCGAAGACGACCCTCTGAGGGTTGTTGGCTCGTCAGCCAAACTCCCTTCTGCTTCCGGCCTTCTGTCCGGTTCAACGCGCCGCTCCGTCGGCCTTCCTTCCGTTTGTCGACCTTCAGTCGCCCGACTCGTAGTCGGCCGACTGTCGACCCGTCTGTCTTCTTCCGAAGGCATTGGTGCCTTCTGCGCAGAGGTA